TCTGGAGTGCGTTTGGGAATTGTAGGTAACTGGTGTGTCAAGATGAGGTCTTGAGATATAAAGTTGCCTGTTGCCCCTGAGTCTATCATAGCCCTTGTAGACAACACCTGTTGTTTGAAATGGAGTTGAATAGGGATTAACAGGTGTGTGAGACTCTGAGAAAGCACCATCGACACATCTTTGTTGTCTAGGGGAGAAGTTATAGTCTCAGTTGAAGTTGTGCCTGCTAGGGATTTTTCAAGTTTTTCAGGAATAGCAGTTGTGACTGTGTCTGAGGCTGCTATATGTTTTGAATCAGCACTCCCCCGTGCTGAATAGCACTCCTGAATTCTGTGTCCCCCTTTGCCACAGTATAAACAAAGGTTGTTGTCCATTCTGTGTTTTCTTTCTTGAGGGGTAAGTTTACCCCTTTTCAGTTTTTGAGGGTATCCTGTAGGCTGAGGTGCTGGATTTGCTGTAGATCTCTTTATAGAGGCGTCTAAGTCCATAGGTTCAGGTGCTGAGTCCTTAGCAGTTGGTGTAGAGGTGTAATTGTTGAAATTTCTTGTTGGATGCCAGTCTTGGTTCTTCTCCTTTCTTCTTTCAAAAAGCCTATCATCAAGTCTGACAGCTTTCTCTATAAGCGTTTGAAGTGTTGTAGGGCGTTCTTCTTTGCTGAGTTCATCCTTAATAGAGCTCTTGAGCCCTTGGTAGTAAGTGAAGACTAAGGCTTCTTCATTCCAAGTCAAGTGAGAAGTGATTCTCCTAAATTCTGTTGTATACTGAGCAGCAGAGGTCTTTTGACATAGCTTCTGTAGCTCTCTTTCTGCTGTAGCAGTTTCGTTGATGTCTCCAAAGGTCCTGGTAAGTTCCTCTTGAAACTGGTCATAAGAGGTAATCAAAGGTGTAGTGGTATTTTGGTTGTTGCCACTAAGTCTTCTAAGATATGGCTCAAAGAAGTTGAATGCAGATCCACGGAGGTAGCTGGCAGCAAAATAGATCTTCTGAATGTCTGAGGTGAACTGATGAGGCCTGAGGGTGAAGTAGATGTCCAGTTGCATAAGGAATCCCTTCAACTTCCTCCTGTCTCCATGGTATAAATCTGGTGTTTGCACTTTAGGAAGTGCACCTGGGGTACTCGAAATAGCCAGAGGAGCTGTGGGAAGCTCTGTATGATGTGTCTGAGTTGAAGATTGTGTTGCTGAAGTGTTGGCTTGAAAGGTGTTTTCCAAATTCTCAAGTTTGTTTGCTATAGTTTGTATAAAGGCAAACAGTTGTTGCATCTGCTGTTCAGCAGTAGTTGTAGGAGCTTGGTCGTCCTCCATTGTAGTATCGAAGTGCTGCTATAGAAATAGTTGAAGCTTGAAGCAGGCAAGGTGTAATGGTGGGTGCACCAGATATGAGAATCTAGCCACCCAAGGAAGGGATGAATTTACTAAGACAACACACTGTCTTAGGAAACAGAGCCAAAGGGTTGTAGCTTAGACTATTCCACAACGCAGCAATCAGGTGTATGATGTGGTGAAGTGGTTTAGACAAGTTGCAACAAATGTTGAGTCTGAGAACTCAGGGGTAAGTCAGAGGTTAGCACCTCACTGACTTTTCAAAAAACAGAGAATAACAAGATCAATGCTTGGAAGCTTGGAAAAGACGTAGAAGTATGTGCTAGTCGATTTACTGTATTGCCTGCTTGCCCTTTCTTAAGGAAAGGGCAATCCTATTTATGCCAAAGGAGTGTAGTTCTCTCATTTTCCATGACTTTCCATGACTAACCAGGCTTGGTAAATGTATTAGAAATCAAGTGCGACCCACAACTAGCTTGCTAATCATGTAGTGAACGTAAGAGAATCCCATAGAACCATCTCTTGGGTTCCTAGCCTATAGGAAGTGAAAAGGAGGTCCAAGGTCAGAGTACCTATAGACAAATTATGTCATAACTTAACCAATCTTGTGGGTAACTAAGGAGCGATGACGTGTAATGAATCATAGAGGGTTGTAGAAGCTTCTAGAGCTATCGTTCATGTTCCTAGGCCTCTAGTTGGTAGAGATATGCCATGTGGTAGTATTGGCCCACCCCCTTAAGGAGGAGATTTTCTTAATAACTTGTTCAATGAGTGTCCAAATGATATGCCGTGATGTATGTAGCATAAACAGATGTAGTAGAAGAGTTTGCAGCAATCGTTGAGTAGTATTGCTTCTGTTGTTGGTGTGATAAGCCAAGATATGTATGGTGACTTGTAGGTTTGAGGAGGAGATTTCTAAGTTTGCTCTTGAGTTTGATAGCAAACTGAGTGCAACGAATGTCAGTATGACAAGGCGGTCATATTGCAGCTGCAACAATGGCTGTACTTGCTGCTCTTGGGATTTCTACAATCCGTTGGCCTTCTTTTAGTCCTGATCTTAATCCAATTGAGACGTTGTGGAACAGGATGAAGGACTGGTTGCAGGAGAAATATTCTGAGATTCACCGGTCAAGCCCAAGACTACGAGAGCGTGTAATTGAAGCTTGGGAAGCAATTCCTAATGAAGAGGTTATTGCATTAATTCACTCTATGCCTGCACGTTGTCAAGCAGTTATTGCTGCTAATGGGTGGCATACAAAATATTAGATTATTATTTTTATTTGTATTTAGTTATAACGTACATGTATAGCGAAAGCGCCAAACAAGCGAAAGCGCCAAAATTATCTACCCTCACGACAAACATTGCGATAAATCTACCACAACATTAGAAATCAATTGAAACTACTCGGAGTCCTCTTCCTCAGAGGTGTCTATTACAATCTGACACGTGCGCGCATTGTGCCCAGTCTCACCACACTTGCCACAGCGACGGGCACGGGTTTCTTCCCTTGGCTTCCGACCACGGCTTGCCCTTATTTCCTGCTCTACCTGCTGCACAACATCCCTCTCATCCTGTAGCTCTTGCGCCCCTTGTTGACTAAGTGATCCTCCTTGCTGTAGTCGTGTTTTCCTAGCTCTCCGGCGCTTGCTTAGTACTTCATTTGCCTGTCGTAGGTTTTGGTTCTCTCCCTTTAGCAGTGCTAATTGATGCATTATTTGCGATGCACCCTTTGTAAACTGGTCAACAGCTGCATAGATTGAGGTTGGAGAGCTATTTTGATGGCGTGAAATCCGAGTTTTAATAAATGTAGACTGTGACATAGCTTCAATTGGGTTGTTTGGTGTCTGAGAAACCCAAGGTTGAGCAGTACCTGGGCGGGAGCTTGGAGGCGTTGGTGTCCTTAACTTAAGATCAAGTGTAGATATCACTCTCTCAGGGTCAAATGGAAGAAGCCCTGCCCCTCGGAACCCGCCTCAAATGTTACTTTCCGTCATTGTAGTGTTAAATGCAGCGTGGAAGGCAGGAAAGAAGTCATCCTTTGTAATATGAGAAATATGAGCCTGCATCATATCTTCAATTTGCCGACCATAGGCCTGCTTTAACGGGCCGAAACAGCCAACATCAAGTGGCTGGAGTAGATGAGAAGAGTGAGCAGGCATACAAAGCGTAATAATGTTGTGTTCCTTGCAGTACTCCTCAAACTCATCTGAGTGGTGGCTCTCATGACCATCAAGGACTAACAAGCGATAACCACCAACACTCCGGGCCTTTGTATGCTTCTCAAAGTGCTGAATCCAATCCATGCCTCTCTCGTTTGTAGTCCAGCCATTTTCAGTAACAGAAATCACCCAATCGCTTGAAAATCCACTATTCTCATACCAAGATGTAAGGTGGTTTTTGCCTGCAACAATGATAAATGGTGGTACTGCCCAACCTTGAGAACTAACGCCTTGGATTACTGTAACCCATTCCTGATTACCAGGCTGTACCTTCTTTGCTTTTGCCCGCCCGTCTGAGCTTGTTACAACCATAGCAGTTGAGATAACGCCCATCATAAACCCAGTCTCATCAAAGTTGTAGATATCTGCTTCATCGATACCATATTTCGCAATTGTGTTACGCACAAGCTCAAACCAGCCATTAATAACTTCTGGATCTTCGCACTTAGCCCTCTGGTAGTCGTATTTGCGCTGAAAGCGTGTCTGGAGCTCTACACGCCGCTTAACAAAGTTTGAAGCCCAACGCGACCCAACGCGTGACGCGTCGCGTGTTGCAAGTAGTCAACTTGCCATATCTTCAACAACAGACAGCCGAGGAGGAAACCCTTTGGCAGCTAGGTCGAGTATATACTGAACAAGGACGGACTCCTCTAGGTTAGTTAATTTCCGTGAGTTGGCTTGGATATCGCGTCGTGAAGGTACACCTTCTAGACGACGACCTAGCTTGCGGTGGTCCACAGAATAGATCCTAGCAGCAACTCGAAGGCGTAACTTTGGGTCGCTTTGCATAGCCTGGATAGCTAGCACTAATTGGCTTTCATCGTTTTTATGGGGCATGTTTTGTTGTTGAGGAATTTAACATTTAGTTGGGGGGTTTGGTCACCGCATCATTTTGGCGCTTTCGCTTGTTTGGCGCTTTCGCTATACATGTACGTTATATTATATTATTTCCTACAACTTTTTATTTCTCGTATCTCTCGCAACTTTTTAAAACAGCGTTGTGGCAGATTGTGTGGTGGAACTACGTACATGGGTCCCCTGTTAACAATTATTGACCCAAAGTACGAGTAACTCGTCTGGTCTTTGTGGTAGCGTTCACCTTGTCTGGCACGCGACTGGGGTTGACCCAAATGTGCTACGAATTTATTAGGGGCAGCACGTAGGTAGTAGCACTTCTCCCGCTATGGCACGCCTCCCGTGCTAGCACGGTTGTGCCATCACGCGAGGCGTGCCATAACACATGTGCCTACCCAGGAACGGCTTTACCCCACATGGGCTGTGGCAGACGCTGTGCTATCGCCCGGGCCGTTGTAGCACATCCGTTGTAGCCCCGTCGCTGTGCTGAACACACCCTATTTTCACGCTAGTATGTAATGACGTACATGAATCTGCAGACTAAGTTTTATTCTAGAAATCTGGGGCCGCAACGCCACTATGGATACTATGTTGGCAAACACGCGGATGAACAAAGCTCTCTTTTATTTGAAGGGTTGAGCCATTTAAGGATTAATTTACTCTAAATTCAGCCTTCTCACCCCTGAATGGTACACCCTTTAAAACTCTGCCAAAGAGGTAGTTCTGTCTATCCAAAGCCATCTATACCTCGCCATCAAAGCCCAGTTATTTTGGCTGAAAGTCTAGTTCCTGCAGTTGTACCCCATCGTCCAAGTGTGTACGAACAAGGGCTCGAAGATGATCTCTGAGCTTGCATGTACCGGATACTACGTCTTGTAAGCATTGTCGATTAGTAATATAAGGTGTCTTACCCATGACAAGCATCTTGCCTCTCTCCTCCTGTGTTTCTTGCACTCTTTTAATATACTTCCCAGTCAACTCAGCTTGGAGGATCTCTTCGACGTTTGCGGTGCCTGGATACATGGTCGCACGTTTACCGAAAGGAACCTTGTCCCCATTACCCGACTCGAGATAGATTGAGATACAAAGGATCTGTCTCAAGTCAGCAAAGTATTTGGGGTATGAACGACCATACGCACATAACCGTCGTCCAGGGTGTCATCAGCTAATGCACTGTTCAGTAAGGACTCCGCTGCTAGGCCAATATCTGAATTTGTCAGTTCTTGTAATACAGTTCCCTATATTAAGGCTAACCAAAGGTTTGGAGCTGCCACACCAAGTGGACTCGGCGCGTGCGAGCTTTACAGTTATTATAACCGTGAATGAGCTTGCGGAGATAGGGCAGCTGTGCGGCGATACCAAAGCCAGTCGCGACCATAAGGACCGTCTCATACTCTCCTACTGGTACACTAATTCCATGAGGTCCGCTAAACAGGGCCAGGCGAGGTACGGAGCCGCGCTCATCAAGAGTTCCATGACTGAAGAGTTCACGAGTCAAGCCTCTCCTCGGTTGGATGAAAAGCTCTAGTGTATCTTGTTTACCATCGGCCCAGTTGGTTACTACGAAAGGATGACTTTGCAGGAAAGACCAGAAGCTGACAGAGGGAATCCATAAGTTGATGTACTGGCCAGCCTTTACTTCTATGGGCCGAGACATTGTCATCCGGATCATCACCGTTTGGTCGATGTGAGTGATGAAGGCCCGAGGGAAATGGCGACCCCAAGCTTTGTTTCGAAACATCACGACGCCGCATTGAAAGGCGAGCAGTGCAACGAATACCCCTGCGAAGATGTAGACATAGCTCCATTTGAAGTTCGACTGGGATATGAGATGTCGTACAATGGAATACACTACGAGTGAGGCCACAGCTTGATGCATACGGAGGAAGATCTCGTAGGAGGGCTTGCGGAAGAAGGGAATCGAGAGGAGTATGAGGAGACACAACGCCGACCCACCCTGTAGTTTGTCAGACATGATCATCCCTCATATTGAAGATTTAGACATACGATTAATCCATAGAGATTCTCCGGCACGCTCAGAGAGAAGCTGACACGGCTAGCAACCACGATGAGGATATGGAGGAGCATGAGAGAGAACGACATTAAGCCTGCCGAGCGATGAACCAATCGCCATGACTTCAAGGAGACGCCAAACAGATCTGAGAGAAAGCTAATATGGGCTCCGAGGAATAGTGGCATCATGTTAATCAGGGCTAGGTTAGCAGCACGGAAGCCAACTTTCGTGGTCGTCAATTTCCAGAACTCGAGGCAGGAAACGTTGGCTGCAATGTATCCGGTGTGCAGGACGACTCCTGCTGGAGTCCATGGCCCAAGATGTGAATGGCGCTGGAGGATCTGCGGATACGTCAGGTATTTAGACTGCCATAGGACGATGTGTTCTATAAATTGCACGAAGTGTGGGCGAAGGGTGAGGAGAAAGAGAATGGTGAAGATGCCGCCTGCAGCAATAACATAGATGTAAGTGGCCTCCATGATATATTTAATGAGTGAATGTGAAGGTCATCAAGTGCAAGCGAAGGTTGGGTTGGGTTGGAGAGACGCAGTTGAAGCGCAGACAGAAGAACAAAGGATCTGAGGATAGTTGTCCAGAGAATCTTGTGGAAGAAGGTGGAAGGAGTTTAGTCACTTTCACCGTGAGTCTCTTTCTTTTTCACCGTGAGTCTCTTTCACCGATGGAACAAGAGGGGATAACCAGATGGAACAAGAGAGGATAATTGGGTGGAACAAAAGAGGATAATTGGGTGGCAGAAGAAGACCACCAGGATGTCAGGCATGGTGCATGTGGGGCGGTGGCGGTGGGGCCAGAAAGTAGCTGGCCACCGCCAGACATGGGCCCCGCATCGACATGGGGCAGCCGCCAGAAGCTGGCCACCCCCAGACATGGGCCTACGTGGATCATTTGATGAAGGACGCTGAAAAGAGAAAACGAAAAATGAGCAGCGTGCAATACGTAACAAACTAGAACATGATCAAAATTTAAATTGATAGTACGGGAAGGAACGGCATAGTATTCAATGCCCAAATAGAAGAGCCAAACCACGACATCACAGGAAAGAATCAAATGTAACTATTTCTGGGACGTAAATTGTTGAAGCTTCATCTGCTTTCAGTCCGAATTGATGCAAGTTCAAGTCCAAGCTTGTCCTGTTAGAAACTACGCACTGCACGAAAAGTATCTCCGTGCACAAATTTCAGCTAAAGAAACCAACCCCATAAGAACATCTTTCTGGTCACCATGTCGCAGAAGTGCATGCTGGTAATGTCAGCAGGTAACTCTTGGCTGAGAAGGGTATCGTACCTTTCTTAATTCGCGTGCGGACGCAGCCGACGTTGTCTCGGAAAGGAATGTGACGGCGTCGGGGTCAGAAGGCCAACGATCCAAATTTTCTACGCCGACTGCTCCATTGTCCTGCGTGTACTTCTGCATTAATTCCATCGTGATGATTCCGAGCGCTCTGACATCCTGAGGCTCCCGATTTCTCTGAGTTTTCTCGGTTTTCTCACAGCATTGTTGGTTTGCTATGAGTTCGCATTAGCAGAGAACCGCCTCCGATTATCCACAACTAACCAATTTTTACATCGCCCCCGGTGCTAAGGAGGATGTTCCGGCAATTGATAGAGCCGTGTTCGAGCCCCTCGCTTTCGAGATAGATTAAGCCGTCGAGGACCTTCCGTGCTCCTTGTCAGCCTGTGACCGACGCGGCTGATGGATGTGACTCACCTGCCTGAGGATAGCTGCTAGTTCCGATTCCGTAGGATATTTAGCACTCTCTACGATCTGGTAGAGGGAGATGGGCATGTACTCGAGGACAATGTAGAACGATGTCTCGGTAGTGAAGGCTTCAAGAGCCTTGACAATGTTGGGATGTCGTACACGACCATGCATATAGAGCGCCTTCTCGGCAGCTGCAACCGTAAATGTCCTCACGGCTACGAGCCCCGCCTTCCCTTGTGCCACAGTAACTGGGCCGTTAAGGTCGAGATCGAAATGTTTCTTGTAGATTTCCCATGGTGATGCTTTTCTTGCCGTAAATGGGCTGGGTTTAGATTCACTTATGCTTGGCGGCTTCGATATCTTGACACTGCTCGTATGATCTGTATCGTCCTTCGGAGAGCGAGATCTTTTCAGTTTTTTACTGGCGCTCTCGGGAGTGTCGCCCACTGGGGAACTTGAGAGTGCAGGTAGCGTAGCGGAAGCTTCGGGATGCTGAGTAGGCAGCAGCTGAGCTGAGCCCGCTAACATGTCGATTTTTGTGCCACGTTTACCTGAACTCATGTTGAGGCAACGTGAGCGGTAGGCAGGGTAGGTCTAGAGATCGAGGATTTGAGAGGGATAGAGGACGGGCGACGAACAGAAGACGGACGAGAGATAGAAGAGTGACGACGAACAAAAGATGGACGAGGGTAGAATGCCACAGACGGACGGGGATCATTCTAACCCATTCGGGGGAAGGTGAAAGGAGCTCACTGCGTAGGGCAGCACAATATGGATGGTCTGAAGAACGCGCAACTGACCGAAACCTCCACCCTGCTTTTCATTCCTCCCTCTTACCTCCTCCTGCTCAAAACTTTACCTTAAGCCATGTTACATTGCTAAGAAAAGACATAGAAGATGCTACCATCGAGATATGCATGCCGGGAGGAGAGACTGGCGACAGAAGGCCGGCTCAAGTACAGAGGCACAGCTCGCGTCGGGCTCGAGGTCCTACACTTCACATGGAACGAGCCAAGGGAACCAAACCAAAAAAGCCTCGACAAGCTGAAAAAGTGCTTTGAAAAAGGGCAGTGTGACCGAGTGTCGCGGAACCATATCCCAGTTGTCATTGATCAGTCCCAGCTGGACGATGTCCTCCATGCTTCACAGGTCTCGGCTGAGATGCTGCTGACTAATGGTACTGACCCTCATCCCGAACTTCAATTCCCATCAGGATTCCAACTCCGCTGCCTCCATGGGCGACACCGAGTTCTGGCTGCGCGAGAGGTCCTACCTCCGCAGGAGAGATGGTGGACGGTGGATATTTACCTCGCAGGTATGCACTTGTCGTATGAGCGATGTGACCGTTACTGACAGGCCATTACAGATATCGACGACGAGCTCAGGAAGGCCTTGATCGAGGAGCACTCGAACGAGCAGCCGCCGTCAGATGGCGAGATCTATTGCAAGATCCGAAAATATCAGCAAAAGCGGGATCGGTACTCGGAAATGCGATGGTGGGCTCGTCTGTCGGGCCATGGGACGAGGTGTCTCGAGCAGGTCTCCCGTCATCCTGATTTTAAGGCCGCCTTCGACGATCTATTGGATATTCCCGGCCTGTGGGGCGGGATGCGAATCAGTACGTTGAATAGGATGATTAGCATGAGATGTGACGATGTGAGTCTGCTGTGATTGGCATATCTAGCTTGCACATCACTGAAACTATTCGAAACAGGAGGTCCTGTCCTATCTCACGCACATTAAGGATGTTTGGTCCCGGCTCCTCCATCACAACAAAGAAGCGATGCTTATAGTAGACCAAGCCACAGTAAAGGCCGTGGAGCTCATGGCCCCCAAATCGTCAAAGCGCGACGCCCAGGCGCTACATGGCCAATTGCTGAGCGGACAGATATTTTCTGGCTTTAGCCTAGAGGCCCGCGAGACCATCTGGAGTGGTTTGCGTACCATCAGCGGCCTGATACCATCCCTCTACACCTTCTTCGAGGATCTCAAGTATTTGGAAGCATGCGCAGGCAGCATGAGACACTTGGTTATGCCGTCTCCAAAACACACGATGCAAAGCGCCTTGAACAGTATTTTTTTCGGAACGAACCAACTCGTCGTCCAGGATGCTCACTCCTCATATTCCACACAGTTGGGGAAGAGGTCGAAGAATTGGCACTTTACGTATCCGCAGTTATGGTTGTACACTATGCGTGACTATCCTGATTTGCCTGCCCCTCGGGAGGTGAAGACAAAGAAGAAGAAGCTTCTAGCGAAAGCCAGGACTCCAAATGCCAATGAAGCTAAACTATCTGACTTTGCAGTTCTTGCTAACAAGCTACGGTTTAAAAGCGATGAGATAACGGCATTAATGCTACGGTCCTCGGACAGAGAGATTGCACGTGATGCATTACTAAGAGCGCGAAATCAGGATCGCTACGATTACGGTGATGGAGACATTGAATCTCATATCGAAAAGATCTTGGAATTATTTGCAGCCGCCAGACCTTGGAATACCGAGCAGTCGTGTCCCGCTCTCGTCAGCGACGGTCCAGACAGGGCCGGCCCCCGATGTGGGTTTCCAGACGAGGAGGCTCATGCGAGAGATAGAAGGTTTCTCTATATAAGCAATCTCCAGTCAGACCAAGAAGAGCAAGGCGAGAGCATCACTTCGTTTTTTGTCCGCAGGTCAGTATACTTTGCATTCTTTGGTAGGCTGCCGAAGATAAGCACACACCGCCGCTCTAGCCCTGCACCACCGCCCAATGCTGGTGCGGAACGGGCAGCTTCTCCATTTCTCGAAACGCAAGTGTCAGAGGTAGATCTCGAGACAGATGAGGAGCGGCTCAGACAGAACACACTAGAAGAGGGGAGGCTTCGACAAGAACGGTCTGAACAGGACAGGCTGGAACAGCTGAATGGTGATGGAAATGATGCACAAGAGGCGGATGACTCGTTCCAAGTGTCAGAGAGGGATCGAAGGCGGGACACGCACATTGCCCTTGAGAGAATTATAGCAGAGGGACTCGCCAGCATCCCTGAAGGTACTGAGGATCCACCAGAACACTCTGGAGAGCAGAACCTGGACATGCAGCTACAGCTAGTACCTCCTCCCCCTTCCAAGATCCGCATTGAGTTCAAGATTCTTGAGGGAGAGGTATGGATGACCGAGCGGAGTCTTCTGGTGGATCCTTCCGAACCGTCTGAGGTGGAGCGGGTGGCGAAAAAGTACATGAGAAAGGGAATCAGGCCGTTTGATACCTCGTTCAACTTCCTACTCCCACAAACATGCTTCCAAGCAGTGACTACTGATGGGACGAACACTGTATTGTTGATCAAGGAGGATGGAATTAATAACCAGCTTGTTGTGTTTGATCCAACATCTGATGCAGGGTCTTCTGCAGGCAGTAGGCTGAAGAGGAGTCGACATTAAAATGAAAATGGTAACTTACCCTTCAATATGACTTTTCCTTTCGGCCGAAGATAAAGCCTTACACATTTCGAGAGGGTGTACTATAGGAACAATGAAATAGATTAAATTTCCCCACTATCGTATCTTTCTATACTGTGACAGAAATGACATCACTTGGCTGGCTGGTATCACGCGGTGCGATTCTTTGTGGCGTGCATTCAATCTGAAATGTGGATGAAGAAAAACATTTATTCAAAGATATGCACATCTATAGAAGATTAAAGCAAAACATTTGTCATCTTAAGGCTCCCAAACACCCAAACCCATTGTAAAATACGGTAGCAAGAAGTACTATAACAGGAACTGGCGGAAAGCGAGCTCGTTGTTCACCTCTCCCATGGATCTCTCGACGTAGGCTCAAGTTCTCGTCTATGGAATCCTTGACATAAAGTCACATCTTCAGTTACGAGGAAGTGAGACAGCATACAGAGAGGGTTTAGGACCGCTGCAGTACTCGAACAGCGAGTTATAAATACGTGCTTGACACTATTAGTAGCAGATAATGCAGCAGGCTGCAAGACTCACATCAGACAGTTCATAAGGAGACGCCCAGGACGTGGCCGTCATAAAGTGAACTGCTTCAGCTGACCAAGGCTGCACTGGAGCTGCACTGCGCTCATGCATCATACATAGCATAAGCGTCTTCAAACAGTCCATGTTCTCTGAAGTTTGGCCATCGCTACTCGGAAAATCCATAGGATCTAGATGGATTTAATTAGTCTGGTAATTCACCTCGGGTTGGCTTGTTGCTCACCAATCTTCACCTCCCCTATCGGAGAAATCAAAACATTTCGTGCCGATATACGGGGGTGGGGGAGTTTCCTTGACCAGATAAACTGTATGCCCGCCAGAACCTATCGAATTAGTATTAACCTAGGATGAAGGACTAGGGCTCAACTCGCTTGGCTGATAATATATGCTATCTCAGGTTCCATGGGCCGAATGCCGCGTTGTAGAAGGGTCTCAAGAGAAAATCCAACATATTCGGTAATAGCAAAGATTTGATGATTAAAGAAATACTCTTCACAAATACCAACAAAATTCTGATGCCTGATAGGGAGGAGACAGAAGGAGGGTGGTTCTGGAGGGGAGGAGACTGATCTGACGGAGTCGGCAGGGGAACTACAAACCGTGCTTTTTGCATGTGTATCTACTGGAGATGTCCTTCCAGATTCAACCTTTTGAAACACACGAATTACTCGCACTGAGGATCTATCATCGCAGAGAACTAGAGAGCCCCCCGTGTGAAGTTCGATAAACTTTTCGTAAAAGTCCCATGGGCTGCAGTCGAATGATGGAATAACCCTCTCTCCTGCAGACCATAATTCTCTTCCAGTCCTCAGCGATGGATGAGACCGTTCCGGAAACAAAACTTGATGCTCCCCAGCAGGAGATGGCATGGTTTCTGAAGTATCAGAACGCTGCGTCTCTTGTCCTTCTCTCATACTGCGTAGCGAAGAGAAATGGGAGGGACAAAGAAATGCGAATTGCTGACGAGGATTAGAAGATAGAGACAGGTTTGTAAGACTATGTATCTCGTGGAGGCGTTTGGGTGGTGGGGTGCTACCAGAACAACGGTGACTCATACTGCAACGTATCCTAGGTTCGCACTTTGCGAAACCCTTCACAAAGCCACAATCGGCAGTGCAACTTCAAGATGACGTAGTGGGACCAGTACGTACCGGTACGTACCGGTACGTACTCACTGTGCCATCATCACTATACGTTGTCCCTGGCGTCCTCACAGTGGGTCCCGCGCGATCGACAGGGGCTAACTAAACACTTCTACTCGTGCCGTTCCTATTGAACCTCAACCCAATAATCTTCCACCCATTTATCCTCCATCGAATAATCTTCCACCCATTTATCCTCCATCGAATAATCGTCCACCCATTGAACCTCCACCCAATAATTTTCCACCCAATAACCTTCCACCTATTGATCCTCCACCCCATCCGTTACGATTTTTGGCCATTAGCCACCGCGAACATGTCTATTCCGTCGTTAGCAGTCTCTTCTTCACATTTGAACAGGCAGGACAGCAGTCTTAAAATTTAATGAGATGGCCTGTCCTGATTCAGGCGAGGACTCAGAGCCTGACTTATGAACGACACCAGATATGAATGGAAGTCGCTTATACAACCTCTGCACTATCTAGAGCCAACCATAGCAACATATTTGATTTACTTGCATGAACCTGACTCTGGTATGGGTTCATTGGACCACTTCGTGAGGAGAGATCATCGATGGGGTGAGGGCCTCGTCCCGTCTTCTTAACTCGTATTTGCGCACCACTGCTCTCTACTTCCCACTTCCTCTGGATCTTCGGCATTTCGTGGCGGCGTCATGTGGCAACATATTTATAGGGATTGGAAAAGAATTCATCTTGCCATCATTTAGTGAAGTGTCATCGAAGTCTGAAGAGAACCTACGATTTCTTTCCTGGATGGTGGAAAACATGGGTTGCCAGGAGATACGTAAGTATAATAGCGCCCCTTCTGGTAGATGATCAAGGCAACATCTGCGCCGTATAGCTCCGCGTACTCATATGCCTTGTTTGTCAAAGTGCTTCTCCTTCTAGATGAATTCTGGCTTTGGCGTTTTCGTACGTTGCTCATGCTGTAATAGAGTCTATTAGGCACAGAGGGGGCGTAATGTCTCTTGTAATTTTGAGAGTGGCATGCCACGGCTACTTGAAGATGTCAAAGATCTAATCCTGGCATCCCAAAAATGGGGGCCACCACCCGATGGTCTCGCCCCATGGTCTCATCCGATGGTCTCAATGAACCCACGCCAGGTATCCACTTACTTATCCTTGCAATCGACTCCTTCCTTGAAGTTATTGCAGCTGTTCGGCGGTTGGGTACGAGACCATTGTTGTGACTATTGCGAAATTATCTGTGGAGTCTCTCACACTTCTCATAGAGACACTTGTAGAAAACGGGTGAATATGGGGAGTTGGTTGAGTTGAGAGAGAGGGTGGACGGTAAATAGAAGTGCAAGGCGGTAGAAAGAAACAACCGTGCTTAGTCCTAAGCACGAGAATCCATAGCACAGACCAGACAGCGGGTGGGGTAAAACTGTCAGAGCCCTGCTGATCGGCATTCGATTTTCTACGGTAGACGATGGAGTAGTTTATATTTGAATGACAGCTTGCGAGTATGAGGTCCAAAAACCCCAACCGATGGGGAAAGTTGGGGTTTTCGGGTGCAGTCACAACACTAACAGGGCCAAGGCGGTAAACACGAACGCGACCTACCACAGAGCTGTGGTGTACAAATGACAAGAAATTGAAAACGGAGTACAATGAAACGTACTATTCAGGGCTGTGGTAGACTCTATCGCAACATGAGCAACGTTCTATTTTCATATACGTCACTCGCGCACTTGTACGTGATATGCATTCCTCGGGGTATGCCTATTATATCCCACCACGAAGCAATTTCGACTTGATGTCAATATAGACCATCAAACTATCGTAATTGCACATCCTTGAGACCGGCAGCCCACGGTTGCGCGGAGATCTGAGTTACCCAATACCTAAAGTAGAATTATGCTGCCGTCATAAATATAGAAACCAGGCTCTTCCCCGTCGAGAGCCTTTATCGCAGGTCCCCGGTCCATCTCCTCGGCCAATTCACGCGCAGTATGCCCATCATTGTCCACCGCATCTACCACTGCCCCTCTGTCGACCAAGAGTTTTGTCGCTGCCCCATGCCCTAGACAAGCAGAACGGTGTAACGGTGTACGCCCGAGTTGGTCCACTGTGTCAAGTTTGGCGCCCTTGTCAATCAAGAGGTCGATAATCTCCGGATGTCCGTCATCAGCCGCTAAATGCAACGCCGAGCTTCCGTCGAGGTCGCGAGCAGATATCATGGCTCCTTGCTCTAAGAGTACTCTCTCTCACCGTCTCGACGGACGTGCTCTGCACTGCCAAGTGCAGGAATGTCTGCTCTTTCTTGTTCAAAGGTAATATATCCGCTCCTTGAGAGAGAAGCTCCTCTGCTGCCTCCGCGTGCCCACCCACCGATGCCCAATGCAATGGCGTCCGCTGATAGCTGTCCTGTTCTGATATTGAGGCACCATTCTTCAGTAGCAGATGTATGGTGTCTCGATGGCCGTGCTCCGCAGCTCGCAATAGTGGAGTCGAATCGGAAGTATCTCGTGGAGAGTGCTGGATCCCATTCTCTAATTGCAATCTGACCTTTTCTGTATCTCCGTTTGCTGCCGCCGTTGCAAGGACAGTCTCATCATCGATCAAATCAAGAGACATTCTGCACGTAGGGCAGCCGCCCGTCTAGAAAACGGACTTGGCCAAGCATGCCTCGTGTGCCCAGGAAGGACATTCACAGCGAAGCGTCGCTGCCTCCTCCCCAGTTTGCCAGCGTCGCATGCAGATGTAGCAATCTCCAGCGAGCATACCATCGTCGACGTTCTTGCGATAGACAGCGCTGTTGGATAATTTGCTAATGCTATCGCGATAAGCCTCGCGTAATGCGCTGACATCCAATATATTCGCTTCCATTGTATCTTCGATGTCGGAGTGAACTGAGTTTGAGACGACTCATTATCTCCTTCATCGACAAGGATGTTGGCTGGCACCTGGTTCGCTTATCGAGTTGCATCGCTAACTGCCAACCTTTCCTCGGCCATTTACTTCGCTGGAGGCTGGTCCTTCTTGGATTTATGATATGGGGACAAACCCAAACCGGAAGGATCTAATGTTGGGTGGAGACGGGCGTACAGGTTAATGACGGAACTATTTTCGCCCTGTACGTGCGTGCTCGTCACCAGCATAAATCAGAGTTGCCTTAATACGCTGCTGGAATCTTCATTCAAGGGGTGTGGGCTCAATTGACTGCAACTCGATCGTTCTTCATGTCGAGGCCCCGCTGGAGTGCCAGAGATCCTAGCAATTGTGCCCAGTGCTGTTTGGCAATCGACCAAAGTAGAACGTCTCGGATTGGCTAATAATATGAACGGCGTGTCATTGTCGACGCATTCACGGAGTACAAAGAAATTTCAGCTGCACTAGGGAACACCAACAAAATGGATCCAAGCAAGTGGTACAGTACAGTCCACTATTCATTAGGATAAGCTATGGAGCTCGATTAATTGACAGATCAGGCGTAGGAAAGCATGTTTGCCATCTCTCCTGAACCTCTGAAATCATTCTCAAACTCCTTGCCAACCTCGAGGACGGTCTCTAGGTGCAAATAGCATAGGTGTGTTCCATCGCTGCTTGCTATGGCATGTGCTGAACGCACTGCGTTCTTAATCTGTGCGACAGTGTTAGCAAAGGAACCCATTCGACGGTACTAGGGACACTTGCCTGTCTACCGTTGAGGCTGTGCTTGGCCAGGACGTTCAACTGCTTGTCACTGTACACTGCATCCCCCGTCTCTGTTTTTGCCTTTTCAAGAAAGCTCCCCCAGATCGCTTTTCTCGTATCAACGCCTAAGGGGCTGTACTTAATACCAACGTGTATTCTGCTCTGTACTGCTTCATCAAAGTCTCTGACCCGGTTCGTGGTAAGTAACATGATGCCCTTATAATACTCGAGCTTCCGTAAAAAGACTGAGACAAGAGAGTTGTGATTAGAGTCGTGGGAGCGCCTGCACAGAAAGTCATCAGCTTCATCGAGGAGAAGTAAAGCCTTCCACTTTTCGGCAACTTCAAACATCTCACACAATTGCGCCTCGAGAAGTTTCGCATCCTTGCTTAAGTTTCCCGCAGAGACCTCCCTAGTTAGCACAAATGGGGGCCAGGTTGAATATGGAGGTTCTTACTGTGTACAGAGGCCTTTCGAGGTGTTCCGACAGTCCTTCTGCAGTCATTGTCTTCCCAACACCTGGCGGTCCACTATCGAGCGTGTCAGCCTTGGATATATCGATCATCATTTCGGTGGACATACTAGAGAAGCATAATCAAGCCACGGCCTTTTCCCTCCACAAAATCATCAAACGTATATTTAGTTTTTCCACTGGACTGGGCCGTGGTTAGAGCTTCGATAAGCTTCTTTGACTTGTCTGGTATAGCCAGTTGGTTGAAGAGCGACTCGTTCCACGAAATTCCCGAAATATCTGCAATCGCAAATTCCACTAGTACCTGATCAGCAATGTTGCCACAGCAGGTGCGCAAGTCTTACACCATAATTTGTCGTTCAAACTGAAGCCCAGCACAGTCGGGCTACAAGTTAGAAGATCTTCTTCCGTCAGCGCATCAAGGTTTACACTGCTCTCCATAGCCGATTCATCTAGCTTGTTACTAGAAGTTGTATCTCCTAACAGCCACAAATCGATACTGTTAGTACTCTTGAAGATGCTTGGCCTGGTGTAATTGGGATTGATCTCCTGAAACATTGGGGCATCAACCATAATCCTGCTGTTAATAAATATCTCAATGGGTTTGTTTTTCTTCATTTGAAAGGCCTTGCCTCTATAATGCCGATGTTGCGTGCCGATTAGGGAGAAACAAAACTTGCGACCGCATTTCACAAGCGTTTCTCTCATGCTCTCCTCTGCTTCGTGGTGTTGGAGAGGGAATGCCTCGAGAGAGTTGATAGTTCTCGATCCGCAGAACCCAAGAATGGCAGTCTCGATTGGAGCTTTCCCAAGCACCTTCCCGTCAAATTCCAAGTATTTTCCTTTGATGTGGAAATAGTCAACTCCAGTTGTGCTTGTTTTCGCTTCGCCAGACTTGAATCTGATGCATCTTGGTTTCTTGGTCCCGCGACAAGTGGTATACACCAATCCGTTTGGTTTGAAAAGAAACGGGAGTAAATCGTAGGTTATCTCTCCTGTTTTTAGCAATGAGGCAAGTCGTACTTTCGTCTCCTTGTAGGATAAATGGATATGATCGATAAGGAGGGCAATATGCTCCCGGATGATGCTGTCCTGGGGATCAACGTGATTCCATTTACGGGACGCCTCGAGATCTGGGAGATAATGGAATAGGATATTTCGCTCGACCTTTGAAAAAGTGAGAAAGTCGATTGTGATAGTTGGATAGGGCATGCTTACGGAGAGGCTTTCCTCGTTGAGACTAATCTCAGGAGCCTGTGCAAGTATAACCCTCAAGGTATCTCGGAGCAATTTCGACTTAATGTCAATATAGACCACTGGTATTTCGGTTTTCTTGACTGGAAACTTCCGTTAGCGGGTACTATTTGTGGGAAGGAGATACTAACTAATACGCCTGCGCTCTATGAAAACGTATCGATCCAGTCCATCAACTTTTTCTTCCGGCTCGTGTTGCTCCTCAATGACGTACTTGTACGCCTTTTCATCCCAACTGCACCAGTATCTTGTGAGCCAGGGTAAGGCCTCATCAGCAGGAAGACTTACACCTCATTGACTGTCTTGTATGTCTGAAACGTTTCTGGAGAGTCTTCGGCTTTAACCTCGTCTGCGGCAGCGGGTACTGCAGGGGCGCTCTGCGTGGAATTGAGAGACTTGAGAAATTCTAAGAACTGTTGGGCGAAAGGCAACAATTCAGACTGACGACAATGAGGGTCTGGAGACATGGGTTGCATTTTCATAGCGGCGAGAATCTCACTAGCATCCTTATCGCTCATCGTCGGGGTACTGGGTGGGGTGGGTGGGGTGGCTGGCCGTGGACTGCCCAGCGAAAGGCCGATTTGAATCATCTCTTGAACCATGATCAATGTAACGGGTTGGCAGGTGGCTTGAGATGCGTGATGGAAGATACAGACAGAAGTAAGAAGCTTGAAGATGAGTGATGATTTGAAGACTGCAGAGGTTTATGATTGAACTTCTGGGGAATCGCGTGCCCTTATATATTCTCAACTTGTTGCCCATCGTATCAATGGAAGACCAGCCCCCCTGAAACCAACAACGGCCTGGGAGTTGGGGGAAGCCGGTCCTTCTCGCTCAGGATCACCAGCAGCCCATCGCCATGCATTGGCCGATTGGATACTCAAGAAGGTCCAAGGGTGCATCATGCAAACAACGCGGGGTGAAGCACATATCTGCAGGACAGTGTTGGAGAGAATGCTGGCGAGACTGATTCGCCATGCAGAAGTGGGGGAAGTAACCCTTTGATGTAAGAGTGATATCGATTGTGCAGATCTCCAAAAATGGAATGTCTCATCCATGAAGCAATCGACGCACGGCGCACTGGCCCCTAAAACGACGCGAGACATTGGGTTGGTGATCGCTTAGACCGCCGAGATTCTTCTCAGCCTCGAAAACTCGATGTTCACTATAAAACAGCCGTCGAGCTGGTTGAGCTTCCATCCAATAGGATCGACTATTAAAATTGGCTGGATGCAGTTCTCCACTTTTCAGCTTAGTAACTGCAGCTAACTGGTGTTAAAAGAAATCGTTCGTCGCCAACCTTCGAAACCAAACGCTCATCACTAACCTTCGAAACCAAACGCTCATCACCACCCTTCGGAAACAGGTGCTGATCCTCAAATCGTTGAAATTGAAAGTGCTTCAAGAAACACGAAATCGACATTCTCGGCTTCATCAAATCGTCAATTTCTGGCCGGAGCTCTAGCCATGTCTCAAATGGTACATCAGAAACTGGATGATATTAGCCAAGCCATCTGCAATCTCCGCGATGTTGGGGATAGTGTTTTTGACGAGCTACAGACGAAAGTGTCTAAACTCCTGGTTCAGGTTGAGGTTCAAAGGAGCCTAAACGATATAGCGCGAAGTATCCGAGATGGAAGCGCACTACCCGTTCGGAGGATCAATTACAACATCAAGAAGCTATCGGAGGACGACGAGGCATGCCAAGTCCGCTGGTCGGCCTTGCGGAAACTCAAGTGCCCAGAGATTATATTTAGCACGATGGCTTTTGCAGGATTGATCTCTCTGCATGATCAACAATTTGAGTACCTTGTGGAAAATGTGCCGAACTATATGGAGACCCAGGAGCTACCACGTGATTGGATTGCACGTGATCAGATTAGAAAGGTTGTGGCAAGCACCCCAAGGCGAGAGAATACCCAGCCATTTCTACAAGGTTAGTTCGCTTCAAACTATAATAAAGGAGAACTGAACAGATGCACTAGATTACCATGGTCTTGAGATACAGTTAAATCAAGCTGACGCTTCTAATTCCAAGAAAGAGAAAGCGGCGCCGAGAAAGCGCAAACGACTTGAAGGTTCGTTTTGGTGATGTTGGGCAGGGACAAAAGCTTAAGTCATCCAACAGGCGATCAGACTCTATCAGCCAGCGAGGGAACTGAGACAGAACAAATGCAGAGAAGAGGGTCTGAGACTCGTCAATTGCCGATAGTCCAGCAAAGCAGACGTAAGCAAGAATAAATCATTATGTGCAAGCGAAGGCTGAAAGTATCTACTCTAGAAATTCAATACATGTTCTCGAAAGCACCAACTAGCCAGATAGCCCTCTTGGGTAGCCTACTCTCCAACGCAGTCCAGGCCAGCAAACAATGGGAGATAGAAAGGAAGCAAAAAGAACCGACAACAGAATGCTTGACCACGCTAATTCCTGAGGGAAAGAATGAAGATATCTCTATCACTTTATGGGTCGGCCGTAGAGAGGGACTTCAGGTGCTCGAGCTACTCAAGCTCCAGTGGACTTGGTCAGCTTAACCCATCCATGTATCACTTCAACCTCAAGCCCTTTGGGAACAACATGTTCCGTGTCTGCTGCAGAATCGTCGTATTTCCAGTATGGCTCCGTGCCTTTCGCTGCCTTGGGATCAGAGACCCTGATCAATGCCCCCCTGCCGAATATTGTTCTTTCGTAGTCCACTCCGTCGAATATATGACCGCGTATATATACTTGTTCCTCCAATATATCCCCAAACTAAGAAAAATCAAAGTTAGAATCAAACATGATTAAAAGGGTGTAAAAACAAACCGTTTCGGACATGGTCAATCGCCGTCTCGGTCTTGGCTTGCACGAACAACCGTACCAGCAGTTGTTCAAACTGCGAGGCTTAATGTATTGTCCGATCAAGTAAATAAGTGTTGCATTCGAATCCCAAGTAAGATCGTAAGCTCACTGTATCAGTGACTGCTCCTATCGGAACAACTGTGCACTGAAGAAGGTCGCCCGCCAGTACATATGAAGTTCTGCTGGAGAGAGGTGGTCGGGTTGGATCCTCAATATTGAGGTGCGCTTTGGGTTCGATAGGACGTGAAATGAGGGGGGTAATGTCGCGCCGCTTGTGAGCAAGGTATGACGAAATATATCATGCGGCTGATGCAGAACTGCTGTCACTCGGTGTAGGTGGACAAGGTCTACTGGCAAATATGGTTGGCCCAGGTAAACCAAGCCATTATTGTCGCTCAGGGTGAATGGTGTTTGATTCTTAGCTGCACTTCGAGAGGTTATTCATGTGCGGCCGAAGATGATTTCACGCAAGTGGTGGGGCTCTCCGCCATGTGACTTGCTCCGCAATCCGAAAGTGACCGAAAATATCCTGGCACGCTTAGGCTGCAACACCTTCAGGCTCAACATTTTGAGCAGCAGATCGAAAATTCTCTAGAATCTGCGCAATGTAAGCCCTATCGAGTTGAAACCCCAATTTACAATCCCCCGGCTTTATAAGTTGACGATGTATATACCTCACGTGCATGTCCTACCCTGTCCCAGTTAGGCTCCAATGCCTTCACGGTGCAAAATGTGGTCCAATTGGCTGTAGGTCCCCGTACTCTGGTATACCCTCCAACATGGTTAAATCATTCATCACGTGATTTTATCCAGTTATGGCGCGTTTGAAGACGATGACATGCTGCTCTTTCTTCCACCCTGCCCATCCCTACTTCTTCCTGCCTTTCGTGAGTCTACGGTACCTCCAATGATTCAATGCCGTGCTAGTGTTATCAAAGCTGCGAGGATGTTTTCAACCCTCGTTGGTCACTCCGGTCGCGAGTATGTATGCCAAAAATTGCTCCAGCGACATCCTACAAAACCGGCGCTTGATATCCACCTTGCACTGTAAGTTCAAGAATCATTGATCGTGTAATTCTTGTCAAAATCATCACTAATTGAATGAAAAATAACTCTAGCTGCGATGGCAAACCCTTCGTTCTAAAGCCTGTTTCCCAGTCAATCTTTGATCTCTTGGAGGAGTTTAAAGACGATTTTGGGAATAATCCTCGCCTCCGAATCCACGTAGACGAAAATAAAAAGGAAAACGTACTTGTTTACGAGTACTTTAAAAGCGATTTGCTTTCGTTGGTAGAGAATTATCCAGCCCTTCCGATAGAGGCAAGAAAGACAATTCTGAAAGAGGTTGCGCTGGGGCTGAATGATATTCATACAAAGCATTGGATACACTTAGGTACAATGCCATCAAAGTTCGCTGCTGTTGTCAATAACACTCCGCTGACCTATTTTTCTCTAGACGTAAAGCCAAATAATGTCTTTCTCAATTGGTATGTGGACGAGAAGGATCAATTCCAGCTTGGAAAGGTGGCATTGGGGGATATGGACTGTGCTTTGAAACTGGAAGGCCAAAAGCTCCTAAACCAAAGGATGGGGAACGTCATGTGGCGTAGCCCAGAAGGGCAACTGGGGAAGGGTGTTGGGAAACCTTCGGACGTGTTCTCTTATGCACTTCTAGTGAGTCAATTTTTGGTTTGGCCGGAACCAATCTTGCTAATCGTGGCTCCTAGTGTCTCTACGTTATCACGGGCGCGCAATGCTTTCACCCAGACTTCGAGAAACTTGATACTGAACCCGAGCCAGTGATTTTGTTCATGTTGCTTTCCGCCTTCGGCCCGCTACCAGATGCGCTCGTTGAGCATGTCAACGACGAGGAAGCGGGAGCGCTTTTAAAAGACCTGTGGCAGGCCATAACAGAAGACGAATCAAACGAAGCTTTTGAGCAATGGTCTGAGGAGAGGCTTCCTAACCTTGACAACGAGGCAAAGAGGTTGATATTGAGAATGACAAATCTCGATCCAGCGAAGAGAGCATTAATGTCGGATATTGTAATGGATCCTTATTGGAACTGAGTTGAAGAGCTCCCACGGCATTGATAGGATTGCAAACGAGCGAGGTGACGATCCAGATTGGTGCAAATGTATAGAATTGGAAGATGTGGAAAGGTATCGGATAGTACTTGGGTTGTAATTACTGACGTCTAACAAGTCTTTCATCTCAACACTTTTGCGTAATAGATCTCCAACATTCCCTCACCACACACAGTCCGTCTCTACATCACAAACGAGTGTCCAAGTGCCAATTCCACCACTTCTCCCGCGTCCTTCCCACATAAAAAGAGTGCTTCAAAATACATGCCAGCCCGACACTTTAGACTCAAGGATAGACGTGCTTAGTCGAAACGTGGTTGCCGTCCTTGTCCTCAAAGACAGTGGTGAAGTGACTCTTGCTATCGCTCGAGCTTGGATGCTCCTTTTCACTAAGCTTCGCATCAGCATTCAATCAGGGCCATATGGGAAAAATGTCATTCACGCCAATATGGCGACCGTGGCGCCGGCAGGAATATCGGCCTTCTCTATAGCTTTGCTGAAATCATCCTGAACGCTACTGGCTAGGTAGCTCCGATCCCAAGTCTCAGTCTTAGTGGCATACTTAACCATGACGTTCTTGCCACTGTTGGCGACGGTTTTGATCGTCTGGCTGGAAAGGATTTTGTTGGCGGGCATCTTGCTTGAGGACAATGAGTTATGCAAAGAAGCAATGAATCGTCTTGAGTGCTTCTCTTCTTAAATGAGCTCTTTGATGGTTGCGGGTTATTTAACTGTAAACATTGCCTGAGCTGGGGTAGCGCTTCATTTATAGCCACAAGATTGAAGGAAGCCACAACGGCGAATGGGATTGGTGGTTTGAAGCGATAAAGAAATAACTGCTGCAAGAATTGGCAATACGCGGGTTGTTGGTGAGAAAAGGCGTGAACTGCAGGAAACGGTACATCATAGCCAATGCATCACTGAAAGGCAGGGGCTTGTAATGTGGTCGGCGGCTGGGAAACCACGATGATTCGCGAATGAACCAACAGAGATCCTTCGCTTTTTCCACTTCAGGCGTATGTGATGGTCAAGCCTGGGGGTGTAAGGCGGTGCATGCCATACCCCTCCATGATGTTGGCTGGATCTCACTTCAGGCAGCAGTATTGGCTAACAGTGAGTCACGCGTAATGTCTCAAGGCTGAAACATCGGCTAGCATTGCTTCTAACCAATTATTATTTGGCATGGCGCTAAATCATCATCCAAATGCCTAGTTGTCGCCCCCATCTCTCTTACCTTGACAAGTTGGCATTTCACCAACCGCTCATTCAAGGGGCTAGTCTTCGATGTGAGTGGTTCGGACAAGTGTTGCTCTGATGATGAAAGTACCCGCTGAGGATTTTTCTTCCTGCAACTCCAGCGCATTCTCCTCCTGCTACTATCTATGCCGACCAGCTCCGGTTGTTTCAAGCGCAGCGGTAAAATAGGATATCCTCTTACCCCTCCCCTCGCCCTTCCAGTCAATATGGCCTCGCGTCAAGCAAAACGAAACACCAGAATAGAGAGGCGGCAACGATCGCTGCCAAAAGACGAAGGTAACCCATCCCGCACGTTTCTGTGCTCCTTTTGACTGGCCATTCTTAGGGAAACGGCCTCAAGGTATCAACAAAGAACGGCCGCATATAGATCCTCGTCAAAGCACACGCCTAGAAGGCAGTCGTTTAGAAGGAACAGTATCTAAAGTTCTCTCCAGAACCAGCAACACTCTCAGCGAAGAGGCAAGTCACTCCACTCTTGCTATTCACTAAATCTAACTCGAGTCAAGTTCAAACGAACTCCACCAGTCTCTCAAAGCACAGCAAGTCATCATCGAAAGCGGAAGCGGCCACGAAACCCCAGCCCGAAGCGTACACCTGAAGACGAGCGAAGTCGAAAACGTCAGCGAAGCTCGCCTGAAGGCCGCAGAATTGAAGAACATACCTGCGATATCAAGAACGGTGACGCCGATCCAGTTATTCGTTGGTTGCGAGGGAAGCCTTGGCCCAAGGAGTATTTTGAGCAAGAAAATATAATGAATCCATTACTCAAGAGGAAAACGTCATCATCTTCACTCAGCAAGAAATCAGAGACAAGCGATGGATCTCTGAGGGAAGGCAAGAATCCCGCTGTTAAAAGTCGGCTGTATGAGAAGAGCCTTGCAGCGGCGGGTATCTACATGGGCGGCGGACCCGGGATCACTGATGCTTGTCGAGCTCTCTGCAAGGTTCTGCTTGAGGCAGAACAACCTCTCCCTCCTGATTCTATATTTCGAGACGATCGATTCGAAAAGACCTGCGAGAGGCTTCGTAATGAAAACGAGGCAAAGGTCATACGGGATATGTCGCCGCTGCTTGTTCCTTCTGTGGAAGTCCTATGTTCTTATGGTGAAGAACATTTGGAATCTATGGTAGATCACGTCAACCAGAAGTGGTATGGTTGTATACCTATTGTAGCAGGACCAGTACCTCAGCCTGACTACTGTGCTGGATGCAAAGAAGCGATCTTTACCAAGGGTCAACGTCGGAAACTGGAACCTTTCATCAAAGGGTGGAAAAGGACACCTTTTCTGGCTACTGCCTGGATGTACTTTCCGTTTTTTACGATGGAGGTAAAATGTGGGAACGAAGGGCTTAACATTGCTGATCGGCAAAATGGTCATAGCTCAGGAGTCGCTGTGAAACAAGTGGTCGATCTGTACCGTGAGGTATCACGACAGGACGAACTTAATCGAAAAATCCTCGCATTTTCCATTTCGCATGACCAAGAGGCTGTAAGGGTCTACGGTCATTACCCCGTCATCGATGAAGACCAGACCTCCATCTATCGCCATACCATCAAAAAGTTTGACATCACCAGCGAGGAAGGTCGAGATAAGTGGACGACTTATACATTCACAAGGAATCTCTACGATATCTATGCTCCAATACACTTCGAGAGACTCCGTTCAGCCGCCGAACAACTGCCCTGCCCTCTATCCGATCAGCATCAGTCTCAACAATCAGATCTCGGACTCATATCTCAGCATGAGGAAGAATGTCAGTTCGATCTAGTGCTGTCGCAAGACCCACAGTGTAACCCCTCATCTCAAACTTTCCAGCCATCGTTCAAAAAGCCAAGAAGCGAGCAGGGGTTGCAAAGCCAATGTCTCTCTCCCCAATCAAGTTATGCTGCATCTCTACAAGAGGAAGCTGAGAGCCAGTCAAGCAGTGCTCCGTCGAGAGACATCACTCCAGACACTTCACTACCTCAAGACATCGAAAGTGGATTAAAAAAGCCCCCAAAAAGGGGTAGGATTGTGGAGTTACATCAGTGAATGCAATCACAGGGTTGACTTTGATACTAGACAACCAGTCTAATCAAGCTAGCGTTTGCTCTTTGTGAGAAGATGGGGAGTCCACAACAGGGTAGTAGATTGACGGTAACATGGTCATTCTTTAAAAAATCTGGGGCAGTTGAGTATCTGGCACTTTTTACGAGAACGGACAAGAATTGGAACGTAACCCTGCCCTGCTGGAGTGCTGGAGAGGCTTACGAAAGATGGGAGAATTCCTCAGGAAGGTTTACACCGTGATGGGAAAGTATTTACGTAGCACAAGGGAATCAATGGAAGAAGAACGCCCGTACAGTTAATAAATATAAATAATACTATTCGTCATCAGATTCAGAGTCTCTGTCCTTCAACTTGTAGCAATAGCGTACTTGAAGCGATCCGATGCTCCTGTCCGGGAAAGCACGGATGAAAGCCCTATGTATCTCTTTCCATGGCAGGCCCTTCTACTTGAGGCGCATCAGCAATTTATCTTCTTGCGCTGTATATTGGATACGCCCATCACCTTGCTTCAAACTCTTTGATTCGTTCAGAGTGTATTGTATCTTCCTTCTCCCAGGAATTCTCACCCGATGGACGGCCCTTCCATTTAACAAAATATTCAATTTTTCCTCTCCGTTCTCGCTTCTTGAGTAATTCCACACCGAAGTTCCCTTGATAGCTCGCCTCAAAATTGTCAACAAGATCCAAACTGATGTCGTCCTGTTCCTGCCACGTATTTTTATCATCACCAAAGCCTTCCCACTTCACGAGGTACCAAACCACATTACGTACTGTTGACTTGGCAAGCAACGCCTCAACCTCGCAGATCTCATCTGTATCGCTCTCCACTCCTTGGCTGCTACAACGCGGCTGCACTGCTGTATGCACTTTGTTCCCAGTTGATAGTATGCTTCTGTGAGCACCCTTGGTGGGGTCGGCAGTTGCTGCTAGAAATGGTGTGGAAGGAAGAGCATCTTGAAGCTGTGGATCAAGCAACTCCATTGAAAAACCAGATGGGTATGTTTCCCCGCTTTCGTTAGCTGAGTTCGTTATCTTGCGTTTCTTGTACTTAGACGCCTGCGAGCGGTTCTTCAGCTTTGTGGAGTAGTGCACTTGCAACGTCCCTTTAGTCCTTTCCGGGAAGTACTCTGCTATTTCGTCCCATGGCAATTTGTCTTTCTCTTTCAGCTGTATCAACAGTTCGTCGTCATCCTCTGAATATGTCGAATGCCTGCCAGGTCTGCTCACAACTCGCTCTCGCAAATGCGGCCGCTCCCTGTCTCTATCGCCACTAGAGGCGCTGCTGATGACATCTTGTGCCTGCTCTATGTGGAGAGGAAATGGTAACTCCTCCTGGGAAAATTTAAGGCAATACACTATTCCCGACTGGAATGTTTGTAGTGTAAGGGAACCACGGATTGGTATCTCGTGACTCTCTAGCGGGGAATCAGACGACGTCGCTCCTGTCTTTGGAGTTGAGACGTCAGAGGAACTGGCCATAGCAAAAGAAGCCTCTTTCGCATTGCCAGGGCTCATGTGTGCAGAGCTCTCCATGCTTTTTGCCCGCCTTGGCCGTTTTAGTCTCCGCTCCTGTATCTCTGAGCTAGCGGTGTCGCTATCATTAACGTGATCACCATTATTAATAGATTGACTCATTCGAGGTAAATCGAAAGAGGCCGCTGTTCCTCCCTGGCTTAAGACATCCCAGGAATCGGTCGGAAAAGTAACGTCTTTCAGATTGCTGCTCTTTGCCCTCCTCCGCCGTTTTAAACGCTGTGGGTGCTCTATATCAGAACCGGAGCTATCATTTGCGTGGTCTTTGCCATCAGTACCATCTGTGCTTCCATCTCGATCATCGCTGCGCTTCAACACAGGGCTTAGTTCAATCGTGTCCATATCGTCGCTCTCTGCGGAAATGTAATCATTGATCTTGTCTTCGTTCGTTGGGATTCCTTCGATCACAGAGATAGCACTGGTTTCTTGAACACTACCCAAACCGGGTAGACCCTCCGTTTCAAGCTTGCTCATGTTTTGAGAGGCAAGCAACAGCACGTCATTCACCTTTGCCGTAGTTGTCTGTATCGTCGCATCACTTAGTGCAGCTTGGGAACCGGAGAGATGTACTAGGATCTCCCTCTCAGCATCGTCCAGCACTCCAATGTCGCCCATATCACTGTCCAGGAGGATAGGCTCATCTGAAAGACATGAGCAACGCAATTTGCAATTACTGGAGGCTTCCGGGTACTCACCCTGGCTTGTACCCCATTTCAGTTTATCCAAACCTGTCACATTTCCACGGACGCTGCTAAGGCTGCCATTTATATCTGGTAATAGGGGTTCTTCGATAGAAGGAAACTCGGCCTCTTCATCGCTGACGTCTGCATCTCCACTGTATCGAATAGCCTGCGCGATTTCTTCATTTGGTCAGCTGTTGCCGTAATGAAGAAATACGGACACATACCTCCTGTCCCTGGTAGATACTGGCCTTGATGTTGATTAAGAGGCAGTTCTGCGTGGTCCGAACTGGATGACATGTGCATCTGGGCTGCGCCATGCGTAATTGCCCTCTTGACCCCTTCAAAATGGGCACTGGCTGTAGACGGTTGAAAGTGACTCGAACCAACACCTGGTTGTGGATGCGAAGGTGGCCAAAATGTCGAAGGCGGTGCAGCCACAGGACGTGGTGGTTGATAAAATTGCTGGCTGTCCCACTGAATAGAAGTCATCTTGAACTTTGATATTGGAGGAGATCTATGAACTCGCAATCTGCTGAGCGACACCCGTCCTATATATACTCGCGAGCTACAGCAAGCGCATGAAATCCGGCCTACTAGAACACCTGTGGCAGTCGCCCAACCGCTTTGCTCGCTTTTGGCATTACGTATGAGGTTGCTAGATGGCGTAATCATCCCATGTGTGCCAATCTTCCGGATCGATAGCTGTGAAGGCCGCGTCCTGAAGCAAAACAGTGGGAACTCTGGCGAAAATGGCTCCAGGCTCGGTGATCTGTCCGTAGAGGCTGAGCTTTGCTGCCCCAAAGCGGCACTGTTCTGGCCACAAAGCAGATCGGCGACTCCGCAGATCGGCGACTCCGAGACTAGGCCTGTATCAGAGCGCTCCGCTATGTCCGTTTGCCTATGCGCAGGCAGGCGAAGTAGCGACTGACGAAAATAGACAGTTCCTTGCATTCTGAGCCTTCGTCGACGAGTATGCTGAAGCCTCGAGTGGCCCAAAATCGGAGAAACGAATTCGACGGCGACGTTTTTCGATCTTAGCGCGTAACATGCATTAGCTCCTTCTCCCGACTCCTGCATCCGACCCCAATCAGCCCAAATTAAACCCCCGCTTCATGGATGCAACGCAGTCAAGGTGTCACAGCAACCTTGCCTAACCCGTCATCATTGTTGCCGCCGTCGTGCGGTGTTTTTGCCATTGGACAAGCCACATTCCCACATGCATGAGCAAGAATCATTTCTTGTCATGTGTTCCATCCGCCCCAGTCCAACCGCGATGATGCCGACACTTCAGTGAGGTTCACCAGAATCCATAATGTCGCGGCCCGATATTGGTTAACCAGAAACCACTCATTGTTGGTCGTCGAGAAATGCCTGTCAGGAGGATCCTAGATGTCGCAACGTTTAGCAGTATAGCCTCCGACCAAATTTGAGCGACGACGTCTGATGTACGTGTTAAAATCCGAGTAGGGACAGAGGGCGGAAATTGCTCTGGACAGACCGCCAGCGCGTTGCCGTCGCCCTATCGCCGAGGACCAGCCAAGTTCAGCCTAGCTGGCTGCCTTGCATCTCGTAAATGGCCGAGACGACAGAATGATAGGCGCATGACGACTTTGAGGAGGTCGAAGGTGGGTTAGAGCCGGAGCATTCGACGGATCTGGTTACATGCTGCGAAATTGGTAGGCAGAGAAGGGGGCAGTGCAGCCGAGAAGGTGTGGACGGTGTGGGCCAGAGCCGAAAGTGTGTGATGGAAAGGAAGGAGGGAGAGTGCGGATAGAGGAGCGAGGGGCAGCGACTACTTATACTTCTGAGGTTGAGGAAAAGCGGCGTGGTGTTGATCGGCAGGCAGTAATGCCTAAACCGAGCACGCCAAACCAGAACGGGACACCGCCAAACCCGAAATAGAGGCGCTAAACCTATGTGAGCCAGGACGCTGAAAACCGCGCCCCGCTTGCCGTCGCATAGTATACTCTTTACTTTTTAGAACCTACTTCTCATTTTAAAGTAAGTTGCCCTTTTATACAACTTTATTTATACTAATATTTATAGATCTCTCCATTAGACTTTTGGAAAGCAAATAAGAGTAGATTCCCTATCTTATCTACTATTGCTAGAAGGTATTTACAAATACCTACTACTAGTGCTCCTATAGAGAGCTCTTTTAGTATAGGAGGACTAATTATTTCTAAGATTAGAAATAAGTTATCTAAGGATGTTTTTAAAGTAATAACTTACTTAAAGAGTTAGGGGTTTATAGAGGATGAGGAAGAAGAGTTAGTAGAAGACTTTTTAGTTAAATTAGTAGCCTAGTAGTACCTATAGAATATTTATTTCATTTCTTATGAGATTTTTCATCACATGACTTCTAATCACATGAGTTTAATGAGTTTTATTGCTAACCCTAGGTCTATACAAGTAATTTAGAGTATCTAGAAAGCGTCTTAGAATTGCTTGTCATACTGACATTCGTTGCACTCAGTTTGCTATCAAACTCAAGAGCAAACTTAGAAATCTCCTCCTCAAACCTACAAGTCACCATACATATCTTGGCTTATCACACCAACAACAGAAACAATACTACTCAACGATTGCTGCAAACTCTTCTACTACATCTGTTTATGCTACATACATCACGGCATATCATTTGGACACTCATTGAACAAGTTATTAAGAAAATCTCCTCCTTAAGGGGGTGGGCCAATACTACCACATGGCATATCTCTACCAACTAGAGGCCTAGGAACATGAACGATAGCTCTAGAAGCTTCTACAACCCTCTATGATTCATTACACGTCATCGCTCCTTAGTTACCCACAAGATTGGTTAAGTTATGACATAATTTGTCTATAGGTACTCTGACCTTGGACCTCCTTTTCACTTCCTATAGGCTAGGAACCCAAGAGATGGTTCTATGGGATTCTCTTACGTTCACTACATGATTAGCAAGCTAGTTGTGGGTCGCACTTGATTTCTAATACATTTACCAAGCCTGGTTAGTCATGGAAAGTCATGGAAAATAAGAGAACTACACTCCTTAGGATTGCCCTTTCCTTAAGAAAGGGCAAGCAGGCAATACAGTAAATCGACTAGCACATACTTCTACGTCTTTTCCAAGCTTCCAAGCATTGATCTTGTTATTCTCTGTTTTTGAAAAGTCAGTGAGGTGCTAACCTCTGACTTACCCCTGAGTTCTCAGACTCAACATTTGTTGCAACTTGTCTAAACCACTTCACCACATCATACACCTGATTGCTGCGTTGTGGAATAGTCTAAGCTACAACCCTTTGGCTCTGTTTCCTAAGACAGTGTGTTGTCTTAGTAAATTCATCCCTTCCTTGGGTGGCTAGATTCTCATATCTGGTGCACCCACCATTACATTGCTCTAGGCTTATAACTGCTAAGTGAATTGTTTTTGTGTAATTAACTGTCTAATCTAATCTGAATTTTCGGGTGGTAAAGTCATGGTGAGATCATGTGACCAGAGTACCATAGTACAACAGATAACTTTAGGGCTATATCACATAGGCTACAAACCTCTCAATTTGAGAAGTCCCCAACTAATTGTGAGGGGAAGCGAGTTGCGTCCACTGGCTTATGAGAGGAAGCAAGTGCGTCCTCTCAACTTGCATATGTTCACCGCTACTCCTTACCAAAACCTCGAACATTCCCCCACATAGTAAATTATATAGTAATCAAATGTAATTCATTCAATGGAAGGGACACCTCTATAAAATGCCTGTGAATGGCTGGCAGCAAACCCCTCTGAATCTATAGGTGTTTCCAGTCAGATTTTTAAGGTCCCAAAGTCGACTATACAGTCAAGAATCACCCGAGCAGTCCTGAGGAAGCTGCCCCATGGAGGTCAGAATAGGGTGTTTTCTACAGCTCAAACAGAAGCCCTAAAGGCCTGGATTCTAGAGCAGTATCACCTAGGATTAGGGGCTAATAGGCACATGGTTTACAGGGCAGTATGCCACCTACGGAGCCCACTGCCTCCACCGTCACAGAGCTGGCTCACTAAATATATACGGAATGAGCTTATAGAGTTTCACTTTGTTACTACAAAGCCTATTGCACAACAGCGTACGAAAGCTCAACAGGAGCCTACTGTTATTAAGTGGTTTCAAGAGTACACAGCATTAGTACTACAGTGTGGTATAAAACCAGAGTCAATCTGGAATATGGACGAAACTGGTTTTAGGATCCGAATTCCAGGAGGTGAGAGAGTTATGGTCCCCCGAGCTGTAAAGCAGCTCTACACTCCGAGCCCTGAGAATCGTATATCTATTACGATTATAGAGGCAGTATCTGCAGCTGGACAGAAGATTGCACTGGTACTTGTTGTACCGGGTAAAATTCATATGGAGGCGTGGTACCCTGAAAACCTCCATGGGAATGAGCTGATATTGCTCTCTGAGACTGGCTATTCTAATAGCCAGCTTGCTCTACGGTGGCTACAGCACTTCGTGCAGCTTACAGCTCCTCATGATCCGGGAAATCCCAAGGTTCTACTCCTTGATTCCCATGTGAGCCATACGAGCCATGATTTCATCATTCTGGCTGCTAAATATCACATCATCTTATGGGCGTTTCCCAGTCACCTCACACACGTTTTACAGCCATTAGACGTGGGAATATTCCAACCATATAAGCACTGGCATAAGCAGGCTGTGCTCCGTGCCATACGAGAGATGGATATCGCCTACAACCTACACCTATTTATGAGAGATCTCCCACAGATGCGGGAGCAAACCTTCAAGGAATCTACTATACAATCAGCGTTCCGGAAAGCTGGAATCTGGCCTATAAGCTGTAATACAGCACTTGATAAGCTACGTACGTACTCGCATCCTACACAGCCTACGCAGCCTACAGAGCCTACTACACCTACCTGTCATACTGACATTCGTTGCACTCAGTTTGCTATCAAACTCAAGAGCAAACTTGGAAATCTCCTCCTCAAACCTACAAGTCACTATACATATTTTGGCTTATCACACCAACAACAAGAGATACTACTCAACGATTGCTACAACCATCTATGATTCATTACACGTCATCGCTCCTTAGTTACTGGGCCGATATTACCACATAGCATATCTCTACAACCCTCTATGATTCATTACATGACATCACTCATACTACCACATGACATATCTCTACCAACTAGAGGCCTAGGAGCATGAACGATAGCTCTAAAAGCTCCTACGAACCTCTATGATTCATTACATGTCATCGCTCTTTAGTTACCCACAAGATTGGTTAAGTTATGACATAATTTGTCTATGACATAATTTGTCTATAGGGGTACTCTGACCTTGGACCTCCTTTTACTTCCTATAGGCTACGAACCTAAGAGATGGTTCTATGGGATTCTCTTACGTCGACTACAGTTACCAAGCCTGGTAAGTCATGGAAAGTCTTGGAAAATGAGAGAACTACACTCCTTTAGCATAAATAGGATTGCCCTTTCCTTAAGAAAGGGCAAGCAGACAATACTCGGTGTTCCACCCACTCGCTTCGCTCGTAGGTGGCGACAGCAAGTTGTGCGTGCGACAGCAAGATGTGCGTACACCGCTATTTTGATATATAGAAAAAATAATAGTATTCTTCATAACGTAGTATCTACAATGCCTCAAAATAACGATCCTACTATGATTGCTCGCCTTAATGAGGCCCAACAGTTCTTCTTAAAACAACCAAGTACATATACAATTGCTTGGGTTGCAAATAAATTCAATGTCAACCGTGAGACACTCCGACGTCGTATTACGAGTACTACGTCTCCTCAATTACCCCACGGAGGTAGCAATCGAGTCTTATCTCAATCGCAAGAGACCGCGGTCTGTCAATTCATATACGACCAACTTGAGCGCGGGGTCCCTGCCAACCGATCTATGATACTACGGGCAGTTGCAGACTTACGACCTAATCGTACGATACCATCACAACGGTGGCTACAACGCTTTCTAAAAGCACACCCCGAATTTCATACAATTCACACGAAGACGTTAAATACACATCGGAAGCAAGCACAAAAGAAAGAGGTGTTTGAGGAATTCTTTCTCACATATAACGCCCTTATTACAAAACATAACATTAAGCCATATAATTTATGGAATGTTGATGAGACAGGCTATATGATTGGGTGTTATAAGTCTACGGCTGTTATTGTACCAATCGGTGTAAAGCAGTGGACTGTTGATAATCCTGAGAATCGGCTCTCTGTTACTGTAATTGAGGCAGTAAATGCAAGTGGTGCTGCACTTGCAGAAGCTATCATTATCCCTGGCAAACTTCATATGGATTCATGGTACAATGATGACCTTGAGCCAAATGCTCTCATTATTGTAAATGAGAGCGGGTATTCAAACGACGACATTGCAATCCAATACCTTATGCATTTTATCCAACTATCTGCAGAGCATATGGCACCAGATGATACTCGCCTCTTATTACTTGACGGCCATGACTCTCATAAAACAGAGCGCTTTCTTACATTAGCAGAAGAGCATAACATTGTTATTTGCTGCCTTCCTGCTCATACAACACATCTATTACAACCTCTTGATGTAGCGGTTTTTAAGCAGTGCAAACACTTTCATCAAAAGGCACTTGATCAAGCAGTACGTAGCTACGACTATGAGTATAAGCTACGTACGTTCCTTTCAGACCTCCCGCAAATCCGACGGCAATCTCTAACTGTCCGTACAATTCAATCTGGTTGGAGAAATACAGGACTATATCCATATAATCCTCCACTTGTAATTGACAAGATACAAGAGACTCGGAATCAAACACCTGATTATGAGCCATTTGCTTCATATAATATTATCTCAACACCGAAAACAACTATGCAAAGTGTGCAAGCGGTTGAACATTGGCAGAAGAGAGCAGAGGAAGCTTTCTCATCGCCTTCAAGAGAAGGGTTTCAATCATTTGCACGTGGAACTACAGTTGTTCTACACCGGGCAGAGCTCTATAAGACCGAGCTAGATATTATGACTCTACGTGCAGTAGAGCAGAAGGCAGCAAAGGCAAGGGCACGGAAATCACTACAGAAAGGAGGGCAGTTATATGCATCAGATGCACGGAAAATGCGGGAAGAGAAGAAAGCAAAGTTGCAAGCAAAAGCAGACGCAAGAGCAGCAAGGGAATCGGACCAAGTAGTAAAGCAGCTACAAGCGCAAGCACGTAAAATCGAAATTGAAGAGCGTAAGGTTGAGAGGAAGCGGGTAGCAGAGCGGAAGAAGGAAGGGTTGAAATCAAAAGTGATCATTTTACGGTATAGTAAGGATCAAAGTGATAGTAGCAATAGTGGCAGTAGCGATAGTGATAGTAGTTCTATTGATTTTATGTTTTAATTATATAGTTATATAGTTGATATATAAGGCGTCTTTTTCTTCGTTTTATGTGTCGCACATCTTGCTGTCGCACGCACAACTTGCTGTCGCCACCTACGAGCGAAGCGAGTGGGTGGAACACCGAGTACAGTAAATCGACTATCACATACTTCCACGTCTTTTCCAAGCTTCCAAGCATTCATCTTGTTACTCCTTGTTTCTGAAAAGTCAGTGAGGTGTTGACCTCTGACTTACCCCTGAGTTCCCAGACTCAACATTTGTTGCAACTTGTCTGAACCACTTCACTACATCACACACCTGATTGCTGCGTTGTGGAATAGTCTAAGCTACGACCCTTTGGCTCTGTTTTCTAAGACAGTGTGTTGTCTTAGTAAATTCATCCCTTCCTTGGGTGGCTAGATTCTCACATCTGGTGCACCCACCATTACACTACCCTACCAACCCGGCCTATAACGCCTATTCCCTCCACTTTCCAGGGCGTAGAACAGGGCCTACAGCGGTGGAAAGAGCGGGTTCCGGAGGCCTTTAGTAGCCCCTTGAGGCAGAGCTACGGCAACTGGCTTACTGGGGCCGCCCAGGTTCTGGCTGCCGGCCAGCTCCAGGGACTCGACCTACAGGCTGTTCGGCAGCAGGTCAAGAACTCGAAGAAGAAGCGGGGGGGCCGGGGTCGACTCCAGTGTGGAGGTGAGCTCCGGGCTTCTGAAGCCCACGAGCTTCAGGACCAGAAAGCTGAGCTTCAGGCCCAGAAGCTCGCTGTCGCCGAAGCCCGGAAGCTGAGCCAGGCCACAAACCGAACCCAGAAGCAGCTCCGCCGGGCAGGAATTGAAGCCCGGAAACAGGAGCGCCTCCGGAAGAAGAGCGTAGCCCAGCTTACTGAATTAGGCCTTCCAATTCCTCTAGAGTTGGAAGACCCAATTACCGACCCAGAAGCTGAAACTGAGGGCGAGTATGAGAGTGTAACTGAGGGTGGAAGTGGGAGTGGACGTGGGAGTGGGAGTGGGCGTGGGAGTGGTCGGGGGAGTGAGAGTGAGGAAGTGATAATTTCGTAGAATTGAATTTGAAGTATTTACATACAAATTACTATGGTTGGATACTTACGGTCGCAATTTGACAGGACGCACTTGCTTCCTCTCATAAGCGAGTGGACGCAACTCGCTTCCCCCCACGATTATGTCTTTCCGCAAACCATAGTAGCTTCATCAACGCCCTTCAAGGCAAGGTGACGCAGAGCAAGTCTCGCTATATTTTTCACAGCACAACGACAGATATTTGTTCGTCAGATTCATTCCCACATAGACAAGGCAGAGCTAGAAGACCCAGCCTCTACAACGTATCGAGACAGTTTCCAATTAGGAGATTTAATTCTTCGCAAGAAATGACAATGTTACCTAGGTCCCAGAACATGTGAATGAACCCAAGACTTGTAGTCTCCTAGAAGCCATTGCTTCAATTTGGAAAATAACCTTAATAGCCTAAAAACATCCAAATAGCTATTTATCTTCGCAGACAATAGTTGATACGGACCGAAGACAATCCGAAAGTCTGTCAGCGACGACTAGAGGCAAGAACGAAGCAAAAGGACACTCACCACCTTGCCGGAGTCCTCCTTCCATGATATATGCAACTGCCATTCATGGCCCACGACCGTCCATCCGGGGTAAGGAAATCGTTCCAACATCTCCGTGTCCCTTCCCATGGTCGCCAGTATTCTCAGTTTCTCCAATGCTGCCGCTGACCAAACTGCAAGCTGGCAAACAGCTTCGTTGTAATCTCCGCCTTGCCTCTTTACTTCAAGAGGACATGCAAGAAGTGTCTCTCGCGTATATGCATCGCTCATATGCGAAAGTCCCACACCTGGGTTCAGCTTCCGCCATTGGTTGATTATCGAATCGCCGTGCCTCGGTAGTGAGATGACAAGAGCAAGATCTGCTTTCTTCGACAAGGATGTCGGTGATGATGGAAGAGTTGGCAAATATTGAGGTTCAATGGATTGGCTTTGCCTATAAGCAGGTCAGTGATCATTTAGTAAAGTCGAATGAGACAATTACACGCTGTTCAGCTCAAGATCCTTCGACAAGGTGTGCATGCCAGCTAACCTAAGAACAGACCTCACAACTTCTACCCACGCATTCTCGTCTTTGAAGAGGTTGCTGCATGCATTAGCCTCATAGTATACCTCTTGAATATCGTCCCACAGCGAGTCAAGCTCTTTAGTTGTTTGTTCGTGATGGTCATGAAACATTGCTTCGTGCAAGATAATAGCTTCATCTGGAGCAATTTCACGCAATCGGGCCTATAATACTGGGTAAGTATTGATGTTGGGAATTGAGCATATGCACAGACAGACCTCAAGTTGCCTCGGAATGAAGGCCTTATCATACCCGTCCAGCAAAAATACCTTCAGCTTGTTCACTGCGTCGCCAGGGCTCGTCGCAGCAGCCGGGCCAGGCTGGCAGATATCGATTGGTGGCGCCGCAGAGCGCAGGAGCGCCAAGGTTGATCGTATTGGGCTTGTGGATCGCGAACTCCGCCGCGAAGGCGGTTTTGCGTCGAGTATCGGCCTGTTTGATATAAGTGACCGAGTGGATCCGGCGACGGAAGCTCCGTCGTCCATCTCGGAGTATCCTGGTCTAGATTGCTCTACGCCGAAATATTCTTCCTCGTGGTGGTGTCTACTCTCAAATTCTGCCACGGTATTTCCCGCCTGAATATGCCCCGTACCAAGATATGCTGCCGCAAGATCTCCCTCCTCTCGATGTTCTGCCGTGAGATGCTTGTTCTGCTTATGCGTCGTCCTCTTCTGCGCCTGCTCGAGGTAATCACTCCTCTTGCGCTTGTGTTGTCGTGCTCTTGTCGAGATCTCTTCAGACTCTGGTGATGACGCAGAATTTGCTAATGATGGGGTAGATCGCGGAAGATAGGCAGGAGCCGAAGCGTTGCGCAGCTTCTCATTCGCTGTGGTTGTGGTGAGGGTTGTCGCTGAATGCTCGTCTGGTCGAGGTGGTAGTTTACAGATCCAGTTCGTGATGGCAGTTGAGTCTTGGTCGGTCCAATTGCTGCTCATCCTGGTTGTGGGCTTGGCTGCTCCTGACGCTCGCGGAGATTAGAGCGGCGGATTGATGGCTACTCTTCAAATTTATCTTCTAAATATTAGTTTTGTTCTACTTCTGTGCTGCGTGTCCCCCATCGTTTTGGGTTGGGAACAGTCGATGCTAATATAATCGTAAATGTAACTATATCGCGTTGTATTGTTGTCGTGTCGCGTGGCGCCCATTATTCTGCCGAAGGCGGTAAGGTAAGCTTGGCTTTGATAGCATTAGTTGTGATTCCCTAAGCGCGAACCAAACTTGTACAATTCTATGGGACGACGGCCTTTGCTTAATCGGGGGGGGAAGCGGTTTGCGCCACCTCGAAGCGAGAGGAAGCGGTTTGCGCCACCTCAACTTGCATACGTTCACCGCTACTCCTTACCAAAACCTTCGGCATTCCCCCCCATAGTAATTTATATAGTAATTAAATGTAATTCATTTAATGGAAGGGACTTCTCTATTAGATGCCTGTGAATGGCTTGCAGCAAATCCCTCTGAATCTGTAGCTGTTGCAAGTCGGATTTTTAAGATCCCAAGGTCGACTATACGGTCAAAAATCAGCCGCACAAGAACCACTAGAACCACCAGAACTACCCAAAATGGGGGTCAGAATAGGGTGCTTTCTACAGCTCAAACAGAAGCCCTAAAGGCCTGGATTCTAGAGCAGTATCACCTAGGATTAGGGGCTAATAGGCACATGGTTTACGGGGCAGTATGCCACCTACGGAGCCCACTGCCTCCACTGTCACAGAGCTGGCTCACTAAATATATACGGAATGAGCTTATAGAGTTTCACTTTGTTACTACAAAGCCTATTGCACAGCAGCATATGAAAGCTCAACAGGAGCCTACTGTTATTAAGTGGTTTCAAGAGTACACAGCATTAGTACTACAGCATGGTATAAAACCAGAGTCAATCTGGAATATGGACGAAACTAGTTTTAGGATCGGAATTCCAGGAGGTGAGACAGTTATGGTCCCCCGAGCTGTAAAGCAGCTCTACACTCCAAGCCCTGAGAATCGTAAATCTATTACGATTATAGAGGCAGTATCTGCAGTTGGACAGAAGATTGCACCTGTACTTGTTGTACCGGGTAAAATTCATATGGAGGCGTGGTACCCTCAAAACCTTGATGGGAATGAGCTGATACTACTCTCGGAGACTGGCTATTCTAATAGCCAGCTTGCTATACGGTGGCTACAGCACTTTGTAGAGCTTACAGCTCCACACGACCCGGGAAATCCTAAGGTTCTACTACTTGATTCTCATGTGAGCCATACGAGCCCTGATTTTATCATTATGGCTACTAAATATCACATCATCGTATGGGCGTTTCCCAGCCACCTTACACATGTTTTACAGCCATTAGACGTGGGAATATTCCAGCCTTATAAGCACTGGCATAGGCAATCCGTGCTCCGTGCCATATGAGAGGTGGATATTACCTACAACCTACCGCTATTTATGAGGGATCTCCCACATATGCGGGAGCAGACTTTTACGGAGGCCACCATACAATCAGCGTTCCGGAAAGCTGGAATCTGGCCCATAAGCTGTAATACAGCCCTTGAGAAGCTGCGTATGTACTCGCAGCCTACGCCTACGCCTATAGAGCCTACAACACCTACCCTACCACGCCCTATTACCCCTATACCCACTACGTTCCAGGGCGTAGAACAGGGCCTACAGCAGTGGAAGGAGCGGGTTCCTGAGGCCTTTAGTAGCCCCTCAAGGCAGAGCTACAGCAACTGGCTTACTGGGGCAGCCCGGGTTCTGGCTGCTGGCCAGCTCCAGGAGCTTGACCTACGGGCTATTCGCCAGCAGGTTAAGAGCTCGAAGACGAAGTGGGCTCGGGGCCGACTCCAGTGTGGAGGTGAGCTCCGGGCTTCTGAAGCCCACGAGCTTCAGAAGCAGAAAGCCGAGCTTCAGGCCCAGAAGCTCGCTGCGGCCGAAGCCTAGAAGCTAAGCCAGGCTGCAAACCGAGCCCAGAAGCTCGCTACGGCCGAAGCCCAGAAGCTGAGCCAGGCTGCAAAGCGAGCCCAGAAGCAGCTCCGCCGGGCAGGAATTGAAGCCCGGAAACAGGAGCGCCTCCGGAAGAAAAGCGTGGCTCAGCTCACCCAATCGGGCTTCCCAATTCCTCCAGAATTGCAGGACCCAATTACTGACCCAGAAGCTGATTCTGGGAGCGAATATGAGAGTGAGAGTGAGGGTGGGCGTGGGAGTGGGCGTTGGAGTGGGAGTGAGAGTGGGAATGAAGAAGTGATAATTTCGTAGAATTGAATTTTTAAGTACCTTTATATACAAATTACTATGGCTAGGTACTTGCGGTCGCAATTTTGAAGTGGCGCAAACTGCTTCCTCTCGCTTCGAGGTGGCGCAAACCGCTTCCCCCCCCGATTATACCCTATCATCACCCCATCCCCACCACCATTTGTTGAACTAGCAAAAGTGAATCAATCCACTTCTGCTGTAGTTCTTGTAGTCGGTTATATTACAACACACCCCCTTAGCTTTCTGGACTTTGTGTGGACATTGTATGGGAAGGTATATGATAGAGCGCCCCTATAGTCATTGTTGTACACTGTTGTTGAGAGGCTTTTGTAGTCTGATGTCGAGTGCCAATGCTACTTTTGTCGCTTATTGTCGCTTAAAGTATGAGGTTTATATGGTGGTTTTTTGTCGTGGCCGACCGACCTATTGGTCTAGCGAAAGCAGCATAACCATGGGGGGAAGCGAGTGCGTCCACTCGCTTATGAGAGGAAGCAAGTGCGTCCTCTCAAATTGCGACCATAAGTACCCAACCATAGTAATTTATATATAAAGGTACTTAAAAATTCAATTCTACGAAATTATCACTTCTTCATTCTCACGCTCACTCTCACTCCCACTCCCACTCCCACCCTCAGTTACGCTCTCATACTGGCTCTCAGATTCCGCTTCTGGGTCAGTAATAGGGTCTTCCAACTCCGGAGGAATTGGGAGGCCCGATTTAGTGAGCTGAGCTATGCTCTTCTTCCGGAGGCGCTCCCGTTTCCGGGCTTCGATTCCTGCCCGGCAGAGCTGCTTCTGGGCTTGGGTTTGGGCCTGGCTCAGTTTCCGAGCTTCTGCAGCAGTGAGCTTCTGGGCCTGAAGCTCAGCTTTCTGGGCCTGAAGCTCGTGGGCTTCAGAAGCCCGGAGCTCACCTCCACACTGGAGTTGGTCCTGGCACCCCCGCTTCTTCTTCGAGTTCTTGACCTGCTGCCGAACAGCCCGTAGGTTGAGCTCCTGGAGCTGGCCAGCAGCCAGAACCCGGGCTGCCCCAGTAAGCCAGTTGCTGTAGCTCTGCCTTGAGGGGCTACTAAAGGCCTCAGGAACCCGCTCCTTCCACTGCTGTAGGCCCTGTTCTACACCCTGGAAAGTGGAGGGAATACGGGTAATAGGCCGTGGCAGGGTAGGTGTTGTAGGCTCAGTAGGCTGTGTAGGCTGCGAGTACGTACGCAGCTTCTCAAGGGCTGTATTACAGCTTATGGGCCAGATTCCAGCTTTCCGGAATACTGATTGTATGGTAGATTCCTTAAAAGTCTGCTCCCACATTTGTGGGAGATCTCTCATAAATCGGGGTAGGTTATAGGTGATGTCCACTTCCCGTATAGATGCGAGGCTGTGCTTATAAGGCTGGAATATTCCCACGTCTAATGGCTGTAAAACGTGTGTAAGGTGGCTGGGAAACGCCCATAAGATGATGTGATATTCGGCTGCCATAATGACGAACTCAGGGCTCGTGTGGCTCACAGTAAGCTCTATGATTAGCTCATTCCGTATATATTTAGTGAGCCAGCTCTGTGACGGTGGAGGCAGTGGGCTCCGTAGGTGGCATACTGCCTCATAAACCATATGCCTATTAGCCCCTAACCCTAGGTAATATTGCTCTAGAATCCAGGCCTTTAGGGCCTCCATTTGGTCTATAGAAAGCACCCTATTGTGACCTCCATGGGCCAGCTTCCGTGGGACTGCTCGGGTGATTCTTGACTGTATAGTCGACTTTGGGACCTTAAAATTCCGACTGGCAGCACCTACAGATTCAGAGGGGTTTGCTGCCAGCCATTCACAGGTATTTGATAGAGGTGTCCCTTCCATTAAATGAATTACATTTTATTACTATATAAATTACTATATGTAGGAATGTTCGAGGTTTTGGTAAAGAGTAGCGGTGAACATATGCAAGTTGAGAGGACGCACTTGCTTCCTCTTGTAAGCGAGTGGACGCACTCGCTTCCCCCCACAGTTATAATGATATGCTATATCCTGGGCTCATAACTGTTGAGTAAATTCGATGTATTTGATTCTGACTAACTACTGTACTCGTGCGGCCCAAAAGTTTCCACAGGGTCTGAGCACAACAGCCAATTAGATTGTAGGAATCTACCAAGCACCATGTACTTGTACCCGGGTACACGCATAGAAAATGTACATGCGTAGAATATGAGAGTAAATGAAGCAATGAAATAATGCTCAGCTATGGCTGAAATTTTAATACCACTACATGCTGCAATTATTACCTTGCGTGTATACATGAACGCATCATATGGAGAGATTGAAAAGAAGCTTGGAATCTCAGCTGACTCTATTGCATATATATGGCACCAAACTGTTAAAAAGGCAGGGAATACTGAAATTCACAACCTTCTCCAAACACCTTGAATCAAAGCCATAAAGCGGAAGACCACATACAATTCAAAAGGATTCTGAAGAGTCACTACGCATACGATCTTTGCTACTTGCAAATCCATTTGACACTTTTCAACAAGTTATTAATAAGGAAAATCTACCCTACGCATGATCAATTGTCGAACGAGTTGCAAAGAATCACTCAAGTGTTGAAATTCCACAACCTATTGTACGGAAAAATATCTGCCTCAAGCCCTACTTGGATAATATCATTCCTTCGGTACGATGGAAATTCTGCAAATGGGCACTATCCGAACTTGAAGCTGGATCAATTTTTATTTTCTCAGACGAATCATATATCAATTTTGGAGGGAATCCACATAAGAAATGACGGATAACAGTTCAACAGGGTCAAACAGCAGAGAGCATGGCAATTCAACAGAAGAAATCTTTATTTCAAGTTATGTTTTGGGGAGCAATGAGTTCAGAAACCTCTATCTTACGCCCTTCTCGTTCATGGATTCCTGAAAGTATAGAAGAGAAGCAGATACATGTGCAGAAACTATGAGAGATAAATGCATATTGGAAATC